GTAACCAAGAAGGCTAACGGCATATTGGGCTGCATTTGAAGGAGAACAGCCAACAGACTGAGGGAAAGGATCGCTCTCCACTATTTGGCGCTGGTGAGGCCTCAGCTAGAGTATTGTGTCCAGTTGTGGGCCCCACAGTACAGAAAGTTTGTGGACAAATGGAAGAGAGTCCAGCAGACAGCAACAAAAATTATTAGGGTGCACATGACTTATGGGGAGAGGCTGAGGGAGCTGAGCTTATTTAGTCTTCAAAAGAGAAGAACGAGGGAGGATTTGATAGCAGCCTTCAACTACCTGAAAGGGGGTTCCAAAGAGGACAGAGAGAGGCTGTTCTCAAGGGTGACAGATGGCAGAACAAGGAGCAATGGTCTCAAGTGGCAGTGGGGGAAGTCTAGGTTGGATATTAGGAAAAACTATTTCCTTGCGGGGGGGAGGGTGAAGCACTGGAATGAGTTCCCGAGGGTGGAATCTCCATCCCTAGAGGTTTTTAAGTCCCGGCTTGACAAAGCCCTGGCTGGGATGATTTAGTTGGGGTTGCTCCTGCTTTGGGCAAGGTGACTTTGGACTCGATGACTTCCCAAGGTCTCTTCCAACTCTGTGATTCTATTCTATGAGTCGCCATGCCCTCATCACCCTCCAAATGAAAGCTGAATTCTTTCAGTCACAGGGCCAAATTCACCCCAGTGTAAATCCATGCAGTGTCCAGCTCCCAAGGAGATGGATTCATTGAAAGAGGAGAGCTTATTTTTCTCTTGGGTTGATTCGTTCTGTTTCAGATTCACATGCAGCTTTAGAGTAATTTCCTCCCACACCCAACTCAGTTCCAGGGAAGGAGAGTTTGGGATGATGGCAGAAGCCACATACCAAGACCTCACAAGGTAAGCGATTATTCCAGTTTCTTCTCTGTGGGGCTTAGCCATGGCCTGCCTCTCTACTCTCACATTCAGACCCTGGGTTCATCTTTTCCAGGACAGCGCCTGTATTGAAGTCCCCGGCCTGGAAGCAGATCCAGCTGTACTACTACTCAGAGCTAAGGAAAATCACAGCCCCCTGGGCCTAGCTTGGAATCAATAGCCCATACCCCCTCCTCAGAACAGGCTTTCTTGCATTATCACTCTACCAGCTTAGACCCAGCACATCAGCTGGAAGGAGAAGTCCTGGCTCTTGTATTATAGCAGCCTTGGCTCCCTGTGGCCTTATAAGACTGAAGAGAAGAACAAGCCCCACCCCAGACATTCCTTCCATATTGGAAAGGGAAGAGAAATGTTTTATTCTTCCCCTCCAAAGATGACTCTCAGGTGGGAGGGTCCAGTAGTAGCTTCCCCTTCTCAGGGGATTCCCAGAAGCCTTCTTTCTCTCTGCCCTACCACTGTGGAGATCATGTTGGCTCTCAAAGTCCATATGCTCAGTATTCCCTGTTCTGCCTGAGCAAACGTGGGCTTTCCAGACATCAGCTCTGTTTGCTTTGCCCACAGACGAAAAGCCAGTCAGTCTCTCTCCCACCACTGGCCCGAGAGAGCAGGATGCTCTCTCCACAGCCAGGTAGGACAAACAATGGTTAGTCCCATCAAACACAGAGTGCGCTCTGCTGGGACGGGCACTTACCACCATTCACAGGAGACAGTGCCCCAAGGAGCCCTTATTATGTGAGCAGCTTACAGTTCACAATGGAGAGCAGCTATGATGGTGATGGGAGAGGGGGAAAGGGTGCTGGGGGCTCGAGGGGTGCAGTGGGGATATTGAACTGACTCTTGGGCTGTAAATCTGAGCTGAGGAAGAGGGACCAGGAGGACGAGCCTTTCAGTTCAGTTTCTCAGCTCTTACTGGTCACGGGGCCTGAAAGCCCTCTTTGTACCAATCCCACAGAGTCCGGCTGTCTCATTCTGTAAATCGTACCCCAGACAGCTGTGTTGTTGTGTAAACCTCGTTCTGAGCAGCTGTCTTAGGATTTTGGAGCCCCCTTTTGATTTAAAGACACCCTCACTTCCAGGCAGCTGTCCAGGGATTCTGCAGCTTAGGCACTGTCTCCAGTCCCTACAAAAGGAGCCGATTCTGTGGAGTGCAGTGCCAGTGGGAGAGACAGGACCCAGCACCTCGCTGAAGGTGCTTCATGCTTGGCAGGATCAGACCCATCAAGCATCTGACTGAGTTCGTTAAGCCCAGAGTAGGGTGAGGCAAACTGGGCCAACTTGCAGTGGTTTTATGGCTTATTGTGCATTTAATGTTACTGGAACGTGAGCCTGTGTCACAATAAAGAAAGGCACATTTTGCTTTGAACACCAGCGTGAGTATGGATTTCACCCAGCCCCAGACAATCAGAATTTGCACAGGGAGATGCTGCAGTTGTCCCCCTCTCTGCCCCACCAGGGCTGCTCTGCTCTTCTTATAAAGGCTGCACAATGGGGGGACTTCACCATTTCCTCATTCCACATATTGTTGCCTTTCTGAGCTCATGGTTAGCCCAGGCTACTGGGAGTCAGAATTTGTGGGTTTCACGCCTGGCTCTGTCACTGCCACCCTCAGACCCAGGACAAGTCAGTTGCATCAAAAAAGTGGCTTCTCTTGATGCTTTGGCTTTTGGGCACCCAACTTGATGTGCACTGAGCCTGATTTTCAGAAGCCCTGAGCAGCCACTGCTGCCATTAACGTCTCTGGATGCTTAGCCCCATCTATTTAATGGCGCAAACCAACTCCTCACACACCCAGTTGCTAACAGACCTTCAGCACCATCTCTCACCCTAGGCCAAGCGGAGGAGGAGGACTCCCTAGAGACCAGGCTGTCTCTCAGAAGGTCAGGGAAGAGGGCGGGGCGGAAGGGGGGGGGTTCAAGGGCAGGCAGAGACATCAAAGGTACATGGAAATGAAGGGTGAGGGAGCTAGATGCAATTCTGTGCCGTTTACTTCACAGTGGGCCCTCCTGGGGCTAGGCCCAAGCCTGGGGAGGGGCCCAGCACAGCTTCCGTATCAGATAGCTTGGCTGTCCTCCTTCCATGGAAGGCCACCTGGAGAAGTGCGAATGCCTGAGAGGCGAGGTCCTCAGAGCAGCATAATGACAAGAGCGGGTCCAGCAGCCAGTGGCAGAATGTGGGGGCAGGGAGAATCATTCCTTTCTTGACCAAGTGTTACTACAGGCCAGGCCTCCCCAGCAAAACCAGCCTAACAGCCTCTGCTGGCAGCTGTCACTCTCAGCCAAACAGCCCAGCTGGAAGCGTGGGGAAGGGGGAGAAGCAGGGAGGCTCCTGAGAGGTAAGGGCCCAAGGCTTGGAAGAGGCTCTGGGGCTGAGAGGGGAAGGCACGACGGAGGCAGCTCTTCTGTCCTCTCCAACCACTAGCCAGAGCAATAAAGCAACCGAACAACAGCCCTGGACAGGCGGCTCTTGCCTTGTAAGGAAGTCTGGTTAACTGCTGTCTGGGCTGGCTGAGTTGGGAGGGGGAGGAGGCGAGAGAAGGGCGGGCTGTGCAACTCTCCTGCCCAGGATCCTGTTTCCGCAGTAACACGCCACCCCCCAAGGGATCCACTTAGGAGAGCCCTGGACAAGAGCGGGCGGGAGAGGGGGCTCATGGCCTCTGCCGCCAATGCTGCACTTAGCAGAGGAGGAGACTGGGGAATAGGAAAATAATCAAAGCGCTAGAACAAAACAAACTCTCTTTAAAACACGAGGGGCGGGGGAGAAAAAAGGCCTTGCAGCTGCTGGGGAAGGGGAGCTAGTTTAAATATCTAATGCAGGATTAATCAAAAACAAGATACAGCTAATGTAAAACAGGGCTCCAATTTCATAGTGGCTCCAGTCCATGACACAATGACGGCATCTGGCTACAAGAGCCAGAGGGAAAGAACTCTGGATTTCTGCTAAAAGAGTGGTTGGATGGCTGCTCCGGCAGGACAGTAATTGCTGTCACAGTGCTGGAGTCCCACAAGGGTCAGCAAGAAAATGAAACCGCAAGCACCACAGGTGCCAAGTCCACACTTTTCACATCACCTCAGTGGCTGCTTTGCTTCAGGAGACCTTGGCAAGGCATGTGGGCCCAAGATTGTGGACCAAAATGGCAGCATTGTCCCATTTTACAAGTCTGGCAAACAGCTATGGAAAAGGGTCCTCACCTATTTTCTCAATGTACTTGCAGCAAGCTTTGGGGTCTCCTGCAGCCCCTTAACGAAAGTGCATCAGTATCCCCGTCAGTGAGCATCATGGAAAGCCAAATATAACAGACCCATGATCATATACGTTTAGATGCTAGCGGGTACAGACTCAGCACCAGACATCACCACAGAAGCAAAGAGAGCAAAGGTTAGCTCTAAACAAGGCCTTATCTACACTGGCATGCTTTGTCACCACACAGAGCATTCATACTACAGTGCAACTTGTTAGAAAAAACACCCAGTTTTGGCAACAAAAAAGCTTCCACCCCTACAAGAGACTTTTGTCTTTCCCTTTATTATTGGATTCTACTGTTTGTTTCGTCAAGAGAACTGGCTTCCACCAGTATCCGACAACGCCAGTCCTGATGGCTGCGCTCCGTGTTTTTTAATCTCTGCTGCCCTGCAGGCATGTGCCCCTCCCCTTTCAAAACTCTGGCAAGTATCTGACAGCTGAGTGAGCGGCTCCATATGGGAAAAAAAACAAAAAACAAATATTTGGAATGCTTCTGTTCTGCTGCTTTAAGGGGAGGACTGGAGAGGGAATCCCAAGAAGCACAAAGGTCAGCTCTGCCTTCCCATAACATGGCACTGTGGGATGTTTACCCACATTGCTTTGCTCTATTTATCAACAGGGGAACTAGCAATGTGGCCATGAATGTCAACAATTGGAGGAGAAAAACCGGTATGACCAGTTTTCTCTTTTGGCGACTACTGCACGTTGACAGCACTTTTGTCACCAAACCTTCCCAGTGTAGATATCACCCAAGTAGCAGACGGAGGGCTGCCACTAATAGAAGACATAGGCAGGCATAAACGTAGTCAACATATTATACAAATATTTTCCCAGAGCTCTACTTACCCTCTGGACCCTTTGGTGGGATTTCAGCCATTACTTGTGTCTTTGATTCCACTTGGAGATGTTGACTGGTCAAGGAAGGCTCCAAATTCTCCACCTGCCTGATAGGTGGGACTGGGGCTTCTGGAGACTTTGCCACCTGGATTTCCACCCGTTTGGTGGCAATGTCAGGCAGGGGGGCACTGGCTGCATCGGCTCTCCGCTGAGGCAGCTCCGGGATTTTTGAGGTGGGGGCTTCCATTCTCCGAACAGCGGACTCCTGGGGCTTGCCTATAGTGATCTCAGTTCTTCTTGGAGTGGGCTCAGGAGGTTTGTGCCCCAGCCCCTCTGCTCTCTTGAGGCCAAACCTTGATAATCCTGGAGTGGAATTCTCCACTTGCTTAGATGAGATATCAATGGAAATTTCTGTTCTTCGTGACACAGGCTCAGGGAGTTTGGGTCCAGAGAGATCCACCCTCCTTAGAGATGACTTAGGCGATCGCTGGCCTGGAGCATCTGCATGTCTGGCAGGTGTGTCTGAATTCCTGGCCCCAAGATCCTGGAATTTCTGTGTGGAGCTGGTTGCAGTAGATCTGAGGAGAGGGTTCAGAGGTCGTCTTTGTGGCGTGGAGGAATTCAGAGACTGGTCTACCTCCTCGACCTCGAAAGATCGCTTCAAAGCTGAAATACATGAACAGAATTCTAAATGTAAACTAGAACAACAGTGTCTTCATATGAGGTAGGGAAGGGATCTATACCACCGCTGAACACATGGGAAGAAGCAGAGGAACAGAGAACTTATGGAACTTGTCCAGAGAAACAGAGAGTCACTGCCAGAAATAAGACTAGAATCCAGAAATCCCAATTCCCAGAAATACAACCACTACACAGTGGGCCTTGCAATTTGAGTATCTTTTACACCTGTAGGTACAGGTCCCCACCTTATTAGTATTTTTCACTCACCCACTGGTGGGAGTGTTTGGTCTCCTAACTTGCACAGGTGTAAATGACTTTGCAAGGAATAAGGCAGCCTGGAACTAGGTCCTAATGGCAGTCTGCTGCCTGGCTTTAGCTTGGATACACTCTGTAGAGCTAGCCACTGTGACTGCATTTCAAAGCGTGCAGCGGTACATGTACAACTTCTTAGGGTTGATTGGGACACTTGGAGATAAGTAATCCAAACCCACCCTCATGAAAGCATCTAAAGCAACTGGAGAAGACTAGAAATCCCAATAAAAATGCCAACAAGAAAGAAGTTTACAGTCTATGTTAGTAACGAGCTATCAGACCCTGAATAAATCCTTTGTAACAACTTTGTATTTCTTGAAAGCCTTCTATCCAAAGATCACAATCATCTTTAAAAATATTAACGACTGTAGCTTCACCACAGACCTTCTGAGCCAGGGAAATGATAGTGGGATCTCTGGGCACTATTACAGAACATCAGCAGCCTCATTTTACTGATGGGGAAACTGAGGCATGGAGCAGCTAAGTGATTTGTCCAGCATTGTACAGAGGCTGCAATGAAACTCGGGAGTTCTGGTTCTCAGACCTAGGCTTCAACATGAGCTTAGCACTGAGTGCTTTGGTTTAATCAACAGACTGCACACTGTCTTTACATCCCGGTTTCTAATCATTCACATAACAGAGATGAGTAATGTCTGTCTGAGCGGCGCTATGGAGTTGAACATCATTGGAAGTGAAGTGCTCTGGTGTCCCTGCTGTCCCCGTCTCAAAGGGCCCATACCATTCTCTCTGGAGACAGTTTTCCCACCTGGGAAGGCAACTCTGAAATCCCTAACCTAGGACTCTCTCTGGGAAAAGCTGTGTGTGTTGCATGGCCCCGGAAACCTGGACCTGCACTTCAGAAATCAAAGGAAGCACAGAGCATCCTAGCAGGCTAGATCCATCCACTTCAATACACTGCTCCTCCACCAGCTATTATCAACTCTGACCTGATGATTCCATCCCACATTAGCCAGGGTGAGCCCTGGCTGGACCAAGGCCTGGTTCGTGTCAGACTGACCAGATCTGACTAACCCTGCCCACCCCTGGAGTTAGCCTCTGTTAAAGGAATAAGCACCTGAAGAGAAGAACTCCATAGCCCCCAGGGCCCACTCCAGTCCCTGCGTGTCAGCAAAAGGTGAACAGCACACACACCAGAAGGGAAAGTGGGAGAGCGAGAGAAACCCTGGCTACTCTAGGTTACTTTGCTCTGCTTCCCTGTCCCAGGTAATGCACACAGCGCCCTTAGCCAGGGGACCACAATGCACTGGTGTCTCCCCACCTCCCGGGACACGCCAAGGAGCTGTCGAGAAAACATCAGCACCAAATCCTGCTTCCTCTTTCCTGCAGGAGTGCCCAGGCAGCAGTTCTACAGGGTGTGGGCCCCACAGAAGTCAGCAGTATGATCCAGTCAGAGCATCCATCAGGTTTGGAAGGAAGTAGTTGCCTAAACACCACCTAGTCCCTGCAGGATCCCCTAGAAGTCCACTACTATGCAACTGCAGAGACGAACTAAGGGCAAGAGAACTTCAGTGTTTCTCTAGTCAGGCCATGAATTAGAGCGATCACCTGCCAGCTCCCCCTCAGAAGTGCGCTTGCTCGTTTAGCTCAATGAGAGGCAAAGGGCCGGGGGCAGCAATACAAACTCGTGAACACTAACGCATATGCTGTTCAGGAGCATCCCTTCAAAGTCAGCTAGACCCTGTCTCTGAGGCTTCATTCCAGAGTGGCGGAGAGGAAGATACTGTTGTTCAGCAAACATCTGGATGCCCTGCTGCCATCCTCTTTCAGGGACTTATCTGGGTCCTGCTCCTGTGGCCTCGTGGTGCCACACAGTCTTCACTGCTTTTATCCTTTGTACCCCCCTGAAGTAGGGACGAGCTACTCCCCGTTACAGGGAGGGAACCACTACGACATGCTGTGCCGGTACCTGAGCTAGCTAGACTACAGCTGGCTTGGCTCTGCCATCCTGAACTGCAATCCCTGCACTTGGACTCCAGACATACCCTCCATGACTTGCCCAAGGGAGATCCCTGGTCTCCAAACCCTACTATCCTGACCACTGGACCATCCTTCCTGCCCTTTCTCCTCTGGAAAAAATCTTGGGACTGGTTTCCCACAGGAGAGTGCAGAATCCCCTGCATCCCATATCTGGGGGGAAGCTCCTTGAGCGTCTGAACCCAGACGAGAAGGTAGAGGCCTGTGAACTCAGGGCCTTTGACACATGGATTTGTCAGAGCAGCAGCCTCGACTCCCAGCAACAGGAACCATCTGCTCTATTCTCTCCAGCATACAGGGTGAGGAACACATTCCACGTGGCAGGAACTCCAGCAAGCTGAAACACAGCTGCTGAGACACAGCCTCCCTCCTCCTTGAGCGATGCAAAGTACAGGCCAGTCAATTGCTAGGAAAACATTATGGCTGAGGAGGGCAGGAGGCTGTGATGGAGACTGTGCCAATTTGCAAGTTATCCTGTAGGGAGATAGATGCTGGAGCCAAGTGCAGATTAAACAGCCATGCCCACAGTTGGATCTGCAATGAGCAGAACTGGATTTGAGGTGGAAGCTGCATGTCTTACTGGCACAATCTGCAGTGCCTGGGATTGCCAGAAGCCCCTCACATTGGGACTGGCTGCACTTTGGGGCCAATACAAAGGGAAGCCTGAGGGAGTTTGCTGATGTAACTTACATCTTCCAAGCCCTCCATGTGGGTTTGGATTCTCACTCTGTTACCAGCAGAGCCCTTATGCATCAGTTAGGCCCAGTTAGCCATGCTCAGAGGTGGCATATAAGGGCATATGAGGGATGAGGGAAGGGTGTTAGACACTTTGTAATTGAATAATTGTGTAACCACATCAAACGTTAGCAGTTACATGACTACTCAGCAGTCCCCAGGGGCAGAGCTAGCAGCCAGGGTGCTCCCAGCCCCACTGGGAGCTGGTTTAAAAACCAGCTTCGCTTGCAACCCGGCTGCCTGCCGCCCCTGTCTGTGGGGGACTCGAGCTTCTCCTCCTACTCTGCTGTCCATAGAACACATTCTCCCTGCCACGAGCTGAACGCAGGCGCGCCTCACCTCCCGGAGTGGGAAGCCATAGTGACTGCTCCTGGCAGTCTCTCCCCGTAGCCTTGTAGGGAACACCATCCATCCCCACACAGCCTAGCTATCGATAGATAGTTTTAGAACGAGTCTCTGTGCGAGTCCACTTGTTCAAGAACTCCTCCTAAACAATGCAATATGAGAGTGGCAAAGAAGTGGGCAGAAGAGCTGCCATCTTGCTTGCCAGTGCACCGGTAAGTAGCTGCCCTATCCCAAGCCTCCCCCCACACCAGCCCTTTGCCACAGCAGTTGGGGGAGGGGGAGGAGGGAAAAGGCCCCAGGCAACTGGGGGCTCAGGTTGGGGGGGGGGGAGAGAGAACAGGTCCCAGGCAGGCTGCGGGGATACTCTGGGAGTGAGGGGAGAGACCAAGTCCCAAGCAGGCTGGGGGCCCCAGGAAGGGGAGAACAGGCCCCTGGCTCCCAGCCTCCTGCACCCTCCCCCACATTCCCGAGGCCCAGCCTTGAACTTTAGCAAACTTACCCAGTGTTGCCCGTCTCCTATAAGAGACAATCTATCCATGATACCAGTGCTATGCCTAAATCATTGGTTTCCAGTGGCTGACAGAGAGCATTTGACCTGTTAAATTTAGATTAATTAATTGAATAGTTGATGGGATCTCCATCGACTGTCCGATTAGTTGATAAGGGCACCTCTACCTTTGAACTGTAGCAAGAATCCTACCAGGTTCTTGCTACAGTTCAAAAGCGGAAGCCCTGCAGGGAGCGTGGGATCAGACCCCCCAGAGGGGCTCTTGTACATTTCAAACACAGAATCACAGCAGAACCGGCATGAGCAGAGACTGCATCAGTCCCCGCTCATGCCATTTCCCACTGTGCCTCTACTTCCCCAGCTCCCTTCCCCCACGGAGATGGTACTGGGGTGAACCGGCTTTTAAGCAGGCTCCCCCCCAGCACCGGCTCCTGCTCCTCCCCTTGCTGCCTCTCTATGATAGGCTCCCTCAACCGTCACTCTGGGGTGTCGTACACCAAGGGCACTCCAGGAAGCTCACAGTCCGGAACCACGCCTGGCTGCATCACAGGAGAATGGGGAGAGGTTTTGTGCCAGTCCTTCCTTTTAAGCCCTTCTGGGGCAGTCAAGGAAGCGTTAGCCCAACATTTAGCTTCTTGTAGGTGCTCTTTTGGACAGACTGTCTTGCTAGCTACGCCTTGTACATGACCAATAAGCACACTGCTGATGATGAGCAGCTAATTCTGAATAAAACCATCAACATCCTATTCCAAACATTAATTAATAACGGTCCAGGCTCAAGAGCTGCTGCAAACTACCCAAAGCCTACCTCTAGTGCTGGGCTGGAAAGCCCAAAGACACTGGCTTTTTTCCATTTCCTTTTCTGATTTGTGCCTGTTTAACACTCAACCCCTTCCCTCCATCTCTATTTCAAAAAGTTTGATTCCGGGTTAGAGTTTTAGATGATGGTATAACAGGGAAGGGGAGAACCGAAAGTATTATTCAAATCTGAACTGCTCCCGCCCCCTACACAAGATTTCCGTAGGTTAGTTGAGGACAGTCATTACTGGCTGTTGTGACAGACACTACCACCGTGATGTGAGCGGAGGGT